ATGGCGGATCCAATAGCAAAACTAAAAAGAAGTCGAAAATGAATATATACATATATGGTGCGCACTGTATATTTTTGAATAGGGCAATCGAGGCATTAATGTTAAATATGAAAAAACATAACTTAGGGTTATATTTAATTACAGCTTATTTCGAAAATTTGACCACACCACTGGATTCTACGTGAAAAAATGTATAAGAGACAGCTTTTACTTTGCACTTCTCCTATACACTGTGACACCCTAAAGATGAAGAAGAATATAAAGGCACATCTGTATATCTGTATATATTAGTCATTTTTTGAAAGCATAGATTACATTTTAATACTTATTCAGCACGAGTGACAGCCTCAAACCCAGCCTACTGCGATCCCGCGAAAAGGTCAAATTCTCGGTATTTTGATTCACGTTGGAGATACCACCGAAAAAAAGTATTCAAAAAATTTGCTTAGAAATCGATTCTGACCCTACATACCAAAATTAGTTTTTTTTTTTTTTCGAAATCTACCATTGTTATTCATTTTATGAACATTGTGTGGAAATAACTTTGAGCTTTTTGAGTTTATTCAAGTGAGATATCCCCTCGCATATCCCATAAGGACGTCGAAAGTGGGACAGCCTGTACTCTATTTTTTCGGCAACCCAACAAAACTAGGTTCTTTAAAAAATTTATTTGTTTTACTCCTCTCTATCACAGAAAAATCTGTGGCTTGCTAGCTTCGGCCTAACTCAGCGAAGCCATTTATGAAAATATTTATTTATTATACAAGGGAAAAAAGTAGTAGATTTTAGCTCGAGGTTGTGTTGTCTCCAGACAAAAAGCGTGAGCTAAAATCTAATATTTGTCCCTCGATTTTTCCCGTATATAATACACTATTTTTGTCTGTGACAGGAAAAAGAACGAATCAATATTGAGAACATATTACATTATATTGAAAATCAGAAGGAGAATTTTCAAAAATATTTGTGTTCTCGAAAAAATTTCCGGAAATAATTGAAGCTCTCGTGATATTATAAGTGATAATTTTTATTATATAGAGACGAGGAGAGGAAATCCCAAATAATCTGAAATAATGAATGTACCACCTACTCGATTAACCTACAGACAGTATTCTGCACTCGATTCTGCAATAGAAAATGATCATAGAATATTCTCATCCTGCAGCGAATATTCTATGAACATTCAATTTGACATATTCTCAGAATATTCTGAGAATATTCTTATTGAATATTCTGAGAATATTCAGGATCGTATCAAAATGAATGATATTGATGTTCCGATTCTTGTATCAATATTTATAATGTTTACCCTGATATCCTGTAGCCTCAATGCTGATTATCCCACTAATTCAGTGTTTTTGAATCTCCACCTGACTAGCGTTGCCATATGGCAACGAACGGCGCTAATAGGTTTATGCATTTGTCATTTTGCTATTCATTACATGTACCATAAAGGTTCGTGGCGAAGTGGTTAAGGTTTCAGGTTCGTAAAAATGCAATCACAAGATATAGTAGGTTCGCATCTCCACCAGAGCAAGCTTTTTTCATTTTCCTTCCTTCTCCTTCAACATAATAGGGATATTCTCAGAATATTTCAAACAGTCCATTCCGAGGTCCATTCCGAATGTTCATAAAACATCCCTAGAATATTTGTATCATATTGTGAGAATATAATCTGAGACTATTCGAATATTCTCGAAGAATATCCTATGAACGTTCTATGAATGACATTGTGCTGCTATCTGGGATTGGTATTGCCTATATGGGTACCAATACCAATATTATACCTATACTTATACTGTTTTGAACAGTAATAAATAAGTAGGGTAGCTAAGATATACCTATCTCAATTGTTTATGTATTATTCATTGTTTTGGTTATATTTGATTATAATTCAATATTCAATGTATATATAAATTCAAGTATATATATACCTACCTAGACAATGCAACAAGGAACACGTGCGTCTCTAAAAATGGCATGAAAATATAAGCCTACTGTCAGTTGCGGACAAAAATAAACAATAATTTTCAGAAACTCACCATGTGTTCAAAAATGCCAGTGGGTGAATTTCGGCTCGATTCAATTCCTCTGTCTTCAGATTATCCAGTTGACTTTAACAACTACTATTAACAATCCTTTAATGTTCACGTGATCACACTTATGTACGAATGAATATATAAGTAAGTAAGCTATTTTTAACTCGGTTATTTGTATAAGCGATAAAAAACTTCTGTTTTATTACCAGTGTATAAACTGCGAAACCGAAGGGATATGATATGAATTTAGATTCACTCAATATCATTTATAAAAGCTCCACATTTTCCCGTTTCCCACTTTCTAAAAAAACCTCGAAAAAAACTAATTTCACTGTCCAAACTGTCTACAAGTCGTTTTGCAAATATCCGAACATGAAAATCACTGTAACAATTATATTAATAGTCTTGGAGAACCCACTTTATCATTATGAATAAACATCGTTATTCAAATAAGTTATTTATAAATAACTACTAGAATTAATAAATTACCTCGACTTCAGTATCTGAGCATACTTTTACAACTATTCGGAAAAACGGAATAACCATCGACATAATGACAGGCAACTGCGATTTTTAAAACTAGTTTGAAATTCAACACATAAAATATAATTCGTTTTAGACCTTGCAAAACTCTCTATAACACACACAACTCGCGCACACATGAAACCGACTGGTGATAATCAAGAATATCAAGATCGAGTGATCAACTCAAGTCCGAGTCCATCCAATCCAATTCAGCCTGTCTCCCTCAGCCTGTTGAATGTTTTCTATGGTTTTCTTGAAGATATTTAGATGACACATCGTGTCTACATCTTGTAAACCAGAATGCAAGCTGAGAAACTCAATTCAAACTATCAAGCGACATCTATAGTTGAAAAGATATACCAACAAACTATGTTCAAGTAGAGTAAACAGATTTCTGTACCATATACTCTTTGCGTTTCATTTGTTATATCCTAGATGGCAGCACCGGAAGCAAATAAACGCAAATCTGTGGTAGCAGGTATAGTTATGAAAAGAAAAATCGTTCAGCGGGTTTTCTTTGGAGGGGAAGTAGTAATTTGTGTACAATAGTATATTACAAAACAAGAGTTGTCAAACGCATATTACCCACGAAGTGGTGAGAGTTACACACTTATACAAGATGCTGAGTAGCGGCGATAGTGTGTACTTAACTCAACAAGTGCATAATTGCTTTACAACTAGAGATTATGTACTATACTTTCTCTACGACCCCACCATGCTTCCTCTACGATAGTACAATATCGAATACGACTCGTACAAATTACAATTATTCTAGCGAGTATACCTATATATTATTTCTTTATTGGAAATTTGGAATAGAAATCTATAGTGTGACCCACCTGAGTCCGGAGCACCTATACAATTTACAAAATATACAGTTTTCAACCTGGAAATATGTCGAATTAACATATCGAAACGCGTTTCTCTATGGTAGAACGGGAGAGCTCTGCAATTCATTGCCTGTTGAAGTATCTCCAAAAGTTCAAAAAAATCCAGCTCCGTATCCTCCTTATAGGTACGCACGATATTCTTCGAACATTAAATTAAAACTAAAGGTGGATTCATGCAACATCAACTAAATTATAATGAATTCAAGATATAAATGAATTTTAAATTAAAAATATATGTGTTCATGCAATAACCTTTCATCAGCTGTTTAATTTTTTTCCAGCTCGGCAAGTTATCATTTGGCGCATGCGCTCTGTCGAGAATTATGGAGAAATTAATTTCTCAGTAGGTGCTCATGCAAGAAACAAAAAAACTGAAACTAAAATTAAAACCAGGAAAGATGGCCAACATTCAACTAAGAAATTAATTTCTTCCATAATTCACGACGGCGCATGCGCCAAATAATAACTAGCCGCGCTGGAAAAAGATTAAACAGCTGATGAAAGGTTATTATTACATGAACACCCATATAGTTATAATTTAAAATTCGTTTAGATCTTAAATTCATTATAATTTTGTTGATGTTGCATGAATCCACGTTCAATTTTAAATTTTTTAGTTTCTTGCATGAGCACCTACATTACATTTCATAGTTTTATATTATTGGTTTAATCTGTGATTCGATTTACAAAAATTGCGAATTTAGTGGTTGTTTAGTAATTTACGTAACCGCCAAGTCGAATGGAAGATAAAAATACTGGCATAAATAGGAACTTAGAACTAGAGGTTCCTTCTCGGACACGGTGTTATTGGCTTATTTTTCGGATCTATAGCACAACAAAAACCATTAACAATGTATATATTTGTGATATATACAATATACCCGGGGCAAAAGTACTCACTAACTCTTTCTCGTGGGAAAAAAGTAAATTTTGAAAAGTGACATTTTATAACCAGTCAACAGAGATGAAATTTCAAACTTTTTTTCCGTCACAGAAAAAACAACGTAAAATTGGCTGACAGATGATAATGAGATTCTCTGAAAAAAATTCTACAACAAGTAGACATACGATCTAACTCCAGAACAGAGATCAAAGACATGCAGTACTGACGTTTTATTGATACATTCTGCATACTGCGCAGGTGCCTCAACCAGGTTTAATGCTCCTCTGTTGGTCGTAAAACTCCTTCTTCCATTTGTTGTAAATGGGTCAGCGATTAGGTCATGGTTACTTAATGAGGGCTAATATTATTTATTGTCGCCAGATCACGCTACTGAAACGTGAGGTCAGAGTTGGTGAGACTAAAAAAACGAAAGTCAGTTCCAGTCTTTCCATAACTTGAGGTTTCATGTTTGCTCAATATTTTACATCTTTTTTCCGAATATTGTCGATAAAACAGGCCATAGCCTTCATGGTTATCGGACAAAATTTTAGGATATTTGACGTTGACATTGACTTCGTGTTTTAGTATTGCCAACTGGTGAGACTAAACATGTTAGCACTCATTGCATTTTAAGGTTCAGAATGGGAAAAATGAAACAATCATTTTGTTAATAATTCCATTTTAACAAAAATATTTCAATAGAAAATACACAGCCCAATATGGGAAAACATAATGAAGTATTAAAAAAAAACACAGGTATTAGTGAGTAATAATAGGTATAACCAATTATTTGTAATAAAATATACCAGAATTTGTTTTCCTGCCAATAATCATGAAACATTTTTTGTTGATTTTTTAATTTAAGTAAGTCAAAGTCAATTGTCATGATATATTTTTTGTAAACTTAAGTGAAACGGTAGAAAATTATCTCGAACATGTAAAAAAGAATACCTAAAATCAAAATTGAATGCTAATAACATGAAACAAAAAATGTGAAAATTTAGACTATAATCTGTGGTCGATTTCAATAACCGTCAGGCTTTGCGTTTTCTCAATTTTTCTTGTACTTCCCTCAGCAAATTGTCGAAAGAATCGTTGCCGCCTCGTTGTTGGTAGTAACCGGACTCATCTCGCATGTTATCTTGAAAATAATTCATAGAATATTTCATTTATTGAATATTAGTAATGTACAGGGTCATTGTTAATATTTTAATTAATAGATATATCAGTCAATAGGTCGCGTGCACGATTACCGACCCTGGAGGTAAAATATTGAAACACAACCTCACTTTTCTGTAGAACATTGAAACACAACCACACTTTTTTTATTTGTTTACAGAGGAATCAAAGGATTGAAATAGTTTTTCTCAATATTTTGGCATACGAATCGTGTTTTTGCGCTATTCATTAATTCAAGCATGCCTTCTCATTGTGCTGTTGTACAATACACAAAAAATGCTGCGAGAGACGAAAGAATATGATTTTTCAGGTACAGCTAGAGTCCAACCAATCCCCAAAAAAGGGAACAAGAACCTGCCCAACAACTACAGGCCCATTGCTCTGTTATCAGTAATCTCCAAAGTGATGGATAAAGCCATCAATATTGGGCTTATCAAATATCTGGAGAGCTCAGGAATCATCAATGATAGACAATACGGCTTTCGCCACCGAAGATCTACTGGAGATCTACTTGCCTACGTCACCCATTTATGGCAAGCTTCATTAGAAAAACACGGGGAATCTCTAGCTGTCGCGTTGGACATATCGAAAGCATTCGACCGTGTTTGGCACGAAGAACTCCTCCACAAACTACCATCATACGGCTTATCACCTCAGCTATACCATCTCTTATCGAGTTTTCTTTCAGGCAGATCGCTTCACGTGGTGGTGGACGGTGTATCGTCTGATACCATTGGCATCAATTCCGGCGTTCCACAAAGGATCAATTTTGGCACCAACATTATTCCTTCTTCAAATCAATGATCTGTTGGGAGTAACAACTTGCCCTATCCACAGCTTTGCAGATGATAGTACCCTCCATACTGCGTTCTCTTCCAGAATCCCCATTTCTTCCCAGGAAACTAAGAACTCACGGCGCAGGCAGGTCAATGCTTTCAATGAAGACCTTGCTGAAATCACAGCCTGGGGAACCAACAACCTAGTTGAACTCAATGCCACCAAAACTCAAGCCTGTATTTTCTCTAGAAAGGCGGAACTCAGTATGCCCGATATTGTAATGTCTGGCACCACCATCCCCACCAATCCCACCATATCTATGCTCGGTATTTCCATAAGCAACAGTGTTTCATGGGATAATCATGTCAGATCCATCACAAAAGCTGCTTCACGAAAACTCGGATTCTTGTTCCGTGCGAAAAGCTACTTCCCACCTCAACAGCTTCTCATGATCTACAAAGCGCAGATACGGCCTGTTCTAGAATACTGTTCTCACATATGGGGTTCAGCACCAAAACATACACTGATGCTCTTAGATTCCATCCAGAGAAGAGCCATTCGCCTGGTGGGTGACGCCACACTCACTCACTCTTTGACATCATTGGAACACCATAGAAAGGTCGGCGACCGTTCACTTTTCCATCGATACTTCCACGGGAAATGTTCTTCGGAAATCTCTGCTATCATCAATACCAGTCAGACGAACTAGACAAGCCCAGTCAGCACATCCTTTCGTTGTCAACCTCGAAATATGTTGAACAGCACTTTATCAAAACTCCTTCATCCATAGAACGGCTAGGCTCTGGAATTCATTTCCTGAGGAAGTATTCCCAACATATAATCTCCAGAAGTTCAAAAAAAAATTCAATACCTACCTCCTGTCCCTATTCTCCCTAGGAACGCACGATGTTCTTCGAACATTATAGGGATTTCCTTTCGTGCGCTCCAAGCGATAAAAAAAAGTAATCTCACATAGTTTTCATTATGAAATTTCGTCATTTCTTATTGAAATTCCTTTTGCCACTTCTGCAATAGAAGCTTATACTGCTAATAGATTGAAAATGTATGTATGTATGTATGTTTGTGTGTGGGCGGTCCGGGACCTGACGCACTTAGGCCTCCCTTCTCGGGCCCATTGTGCACCCACATTCCTGGGATCGCAAGTCAGCCACGGAGAAGGCCGATCTCGGGAGCAAAAGAGACCAACTTCCTAGGCCAAATCTTTTTAACATCCTCTGGGTCCAGGATACTGCCCCCAAAATGGATATCCCTTGCTGCCACTACTGCCGGGCATTCAGTGAAGATGTGAGTAGAAGTCTCTTCATCCTCTAGGCACCATCTGCATTCAGGATCCTCCACATGTTTGATTGGATGAATCCAATCTTCTTGCATTCTTTTAGAAATTTCACGAGTATTTCTATTAGCTCCTATTGCAGAAGGAATTCCGATGAGAAATCAGGGAAATTACCAAATTTCAAAATGAAAACTATATGTGAGTGACTATAGTAGGTATATACTTTCAAGTCATAATGTACCAACCGGATTCCTTCATCTATGGCTGCATTTTATTTGCATTGTACAACAGCACAATGTGATGGCATGCGCGAATTAATGAATAGCCGTAAAACACGATTCGTATGCCAAAATAATTGTAAAAAACTATTTCAATCATTTGTAAACAAATAAGAAGAGTGAGGTTGTGTTTCAATGTTTCACCTCCAGGGTCGGTCATCTGACAGTTCTTGCACGCAACCCATATTGGTCTTACAGAATCGTTCAAATGGTCAAAAAGGAAGTATTTTTTATGGGCATTCAGAATCAAGTACTAGAAAAATGCATCATAAACCCAAAAATGTTACATAAACTGGTATTTTTCAAATGGAGCACCCTGTTAGAGCTTTCTCTTCGGATCTCTAATGTATTTATACTTTATTGAGTTTATCTTTTGTCAATTTTTGAAAAATATTGATTCTTTAGTATTGTTAGAGAGTCACTATTCATGGTAGATAGGAACGCCCTGTAAGTGAAGCTCCTGGGCGGATATGAGTATTGACCTGTTGATGACACACGAGGATTATGTAAAGGGTAACGGGAAGTCAGTAGTATTTATCTATGTATGAGACATTATTAAATTAGCCGTGATACAGTAAGGTTGTGTGCGTGGAATAATTATTGTGAACGTAGTGGGTAATTGTGAATACAGAGTGTTTCATTCCAATAATCAATCACCAAGCTAACAGTATAGACCTAAGGCAGGTGTTGAACCCCAGACGACAATGCTGCAATTTCTGGCGTTCGACAGCTGCCTTTATTCATTAATTTTGTTCATCGAAAATGTGGCTTCCAGTCAGAAACAAGTTCTGGAATAAGGAAGTATATTTAACAATAATACTTAACTATACAATTATAACAAACTCAAAAATAATATAATATTTGAATACATTGAATATAAAATTGTTATAATTCATTTCATATTGGTGAACATCAATTTTAATAGTGTAAACTACACGGCCACCACAGAACCAAAATAATAGTATATTATGTAACAAGTGTTATAAACGTTGTTTTAGTAACGAGTAATTTAAGCACGAGCGGAGCAGAGCGGAGCGAGTGTTTAATAAACGAGTGTCTAGAAGAGTTTATAAACGCGTTACATACTATGATTTTTCTACGAACTCCGAAAATTACATTAACATACCTGCTATTCCTGCTAACCTACAAAATGATTCGAAAGGAATGGGAATTGAGAACATAATACATGCAACTGCATGCAACCAGCGAGACACGTATAAGTGATATTGGTTATTGGTTGTAGATGTGTCCAGTCCATTGCTTACTAACCTTTGTTTCACGTTTATTGTTATGCTTAGCGCAGAAAAAATGAATTGTTCTCAAAGATGGATGCTTCATTTTTACACTTCTTGGAGATATGCAAGTACCAGAACATTCTCTTCGATTTCACTTTCGTCTACTTTTCACATATATTTTTAATGAAGAATTCTGATACAAACGAAAATTGTTTGAATAATTCTGATACAAAATTCGAAAATAACAGTTGACAGTTAATACAATTGACAGGCCATCAGACATGTCTCAAATTACTGAAGCTGTGTTGAATGAACTGCGTTGCCATGGTAATGTGTTTAAGAAATCGTGTTGCCATGGTAAAGTTGTGGCCTACTTTTTTATATTTATTGAAATAAACCAAAACTGCATAAAAATATAAGACACATTTGCGAACGGCAGCTCTTCGCCAGAGAACAGATAAGTGGATTCGTTGTGAATGCAGAGTTAAATTTCAAGTTCAGAGGGCGCCACTCAATTTATAAAACAATTACTGATACTTGGATAATTGAGAAAACCAATTAGTTGGATACTTACAGTATTTTCCAAAACTTAATCCTGAAATAGAAATATGAAAAAAATCTTCTTAAATGGCAGTGTCAACACAAATAGATGAATAAAACCATATCAAATTTCAGACCTATTTATTATCACCATAACAGACAGGGTTTATGCAGACCAGTGTAGAGACCAAGATGACAGAATATGTAGCATGTGTTATCATGAAATATCTTAAAGTAATGTGACCATAAAATATCATAACCATAAATTATCATAACCATGAAATGACTGTTTCTAGAGGAATTCAAAATTATTGTATAAGTTACCAAAATTTATCAACCTACACCATGACAATTACCACCTTTTTATATGACTAGCGTTTGGGTATAGCAATCATCATATTCCAACTATAAAACGGGATGTATAAATCTCTAAAAATTTGATTAGACAATAATCTGTAAAGAACCTGAAACCGCTGTCACATAGTACTATGGGAGAGCTTCACAAGAGCTTCATACATGTTAAATATGGTTATGATCAAAATGTTGAAATATTAAATCAGATTTAAAATATGAGGGAATAAAAAAACCTGGTCTATTGGAGGGTCCTCTCCAATGGTCTAATCACCCCTATCCGAGGTCCACTATGGTGAGTAGGCATGCTGTGAAGATGAAGATGGAAACAGGAACGAAGACAGGAACAAAGAAGTTGATGGACCTCCACAGTCCACAGTAGGGCTCAGTGGTGTGGCTCAGCCGGTCAGCTTGACCGGTTACTACTGGGCTTGATCTGGGCCACCTGTCGACTCTGGTCAGGATAAAATGAGCGACCTGGTCCTCTTGGGAATCATGACCAAGGTCGAGAGATTATCCCTACAGCTGTTCGCTACTAGAAGCCGAAGGCAGCTAAGCCATACCCTAACACCCTTCTGAGAAGGGAGGAAGGACTTGAAGAACTATTAGTTTGGAGTCTTCATACGCTGAAAAAGCCGGCTGCAGGGCTTCCTGGGGACATCAGGCAGTCTCCGAAAAGTGGGAACAAATCCTACACAGGTCCATGGCCAGAATCACTGATGTTTTTGAACAATTTCAAAAAATTTCAAATCCCCCGAAGGGTTTCTACGGATTATACCGAGAAAAGAAAAAATGCTCAAACTGGCTCAAGTGCACACCATGACGGTCGCCGAGAAAAAGCCTCGAGATAGCTACCGGAAATCTCCTCCTAAAATTTCCTATCTAAACTTATCTTATCTAAAGAAGTGCTTCCTGCCAAAATTCAGCGCCAAATATGAAATCCTATTATTTCATTGGTCAGAAGAAAAACACAAGAATTACTAGGTCCAAACTAACAGAAGAAGTACCGAAGAAAGAAAAGAAAAAGAAGAGTCTTCTTTTTCTTCGGTAGTACTATGTCACAACACCGTAAGATTGTGCTTAAGTCCTACTCACAGAAGATGAGTGACATACTGGACAATGACGTTTGGATGACAATATTATAACCCTAAAATAAATTCCAGAAAATAAAGAAAATAATTCTTCCAACACCGAAAATACCATTTCAGATCGAAAAATCACCTTGAATAATCCCTGAAATAAACCAGCGACATGGGCTTTATCACACCTGCGAACACACTGGTAAGTCGTTTGTTTACTCTCGGAAGGGACAACAACATTGAACTATTTCTTCGAATTCTAGGCCTCTAGGATCAGAACGCCAGAAATCAAAGACTCCTGCAGCTTATATCATCACCTCCCATCGCACATAGAAATTCAGAAGACATTACTAATCATGACTGTTATTCTATGCTGTTATTCAAAACTGTGTGATAAAGTGGTTCATTAAAAGTTACATTCAAGTACTTCAGGATTATTTACCAAGTATCAGACTGAATGTTCTCTGTAAGTATGACTTCTTGTCTAGATCTGAAAGGTTAATATTTACAAAATGGTAATGTATGAAACAAAAAAATGAAAATGATTCTTTGCAACTCCAAATGTTGCACCAAAGCAAATTCGCTTGAATTTTCATGCAAACGATACTAAAAATTATTTTGTAGCAATTTCAAATGCTACAAAGTGTTTAATATTTTGAATAAATCACAGATCGACAATCCGTGATTAATCGATCATTTAGCGTGGTACATATCCGTACGCTAAATGCCATTTTAGTTATGTGAGTAGAAAAAATAACTTATCAAACCCGAAACTATATTCAACAAAATATTAATTATATAGTAACAAACAAGTGATCCCGACCGAGAGCGCTTCGACAAAATGCCAACGGTCTCTCTGTGTGTTACGTATCTGACACCTCATCGCTTCATCACACCAGTGATATCACTGTACTAGTCATATTCCTTGTATTCTTGAGATAACAGTCACAAAGGAATCAAAAGGTGGAAAAAAACATCTATTTCGTCAGGAGATTATAAATTTTTAAAGCTCATATTTAAATTCGTATTTCTGCAATTTTTTATATTATCTGGTAATTTGTAACAGAGCAGCATGGGTGGATCATTTTTGACCTGTAGAAGAATTAATAGCAATATCAAGATGAAATAAACCATGTTATCTAGTTTGGTAATCATGAATTTCAGTATTTTGTGTTGAATTGAAATTGGATTTCAATCTTTCATTTATGATATTGTATGTATTTCTTCTGATGAGAATGATTCTGTTATTTTATATAACTGCGTTGTTGGTGTATCATATGGTAAGCAATTCAGTGCTTTCAATGTATTTTTATGTAATTCCTTAGAATCTATATTTTATAAAACTGACAAAAATGACCTCAATGAAGTATATATATTTGAAATCAGAAGGAGTTCTACCGTTTAAATAAAATAAAGGGTGTTTCATTTGAAAAATACGAGTTTATGTAAAATTTTTGGGTTTATGATGCTTTTTTGCATTTTCGAGACTAGATTCTGAATACCCATAAAAACTTCTTCATTTTTGCCCATTTGAACATTTCTGTAAGACCGATATTAAATGAGATGGCGACTGAGTAAAATATAAACCATCACCCTGTACACATTTTCAGGGTCGATCTTGAAGGTGAGGCATTTTTTAAAGGATGTTAGAATAGGCAAGAACACTAATTTCTAGAAAAAATACTATGACGTTAATCACGATGAGAAAAGGAACAGAGATTTTTTTGAATTTTTATTCCTTCTAGATTTCCCAAAATAAATTCCCAAAGAAATGTCCCCGTTCCAACACGACGGAAAATCGTCAGCAGTTCTGACGTCACAAGTGCTATAACGTGCCAACCGTCTAATGGTAATCTGGGAAAAATTCGATAATGGGCGACTGGATTGGTAGTGAATAACTGGTTTCAATGGGGTTGTACACACTAGTCGAATTTTCGCCACATACCTATTTCATATTGATCATTCCGTGTATAAATAGTATCTGATGCAATCAATCATTATTTAAAATCAGCACAAATATATTTTTTTCTATAATTAAATTCGGCGACATCTAAAAACGCCAGGTTCGATGACGTCAAGAACCGAATTCTGGCTTTCGCATAAAAAGTAGGACCACATATTTCGACGCTGCCAGATTTGTAACAAGTAATTACCTTATGAGATTCAATATGACCAATGACAAAAGTAATCACATTCACAGAAGACAATAGTTCGACATGGTCCCTAGTAATAACTCATTGAATACTCAGGCTTGTTCGTTTGTATTGCTGAACTTGCTGAAGTTGATTTTTTAACCATAGTTGTCTCTGTTCATGGCATGATATAAACAGAGAAAGTCATAGAAAAACATCAAATTCCGCAGCTAGAGCAAGCCTAAGCAAGCACAAACGAACAGGCCTATTATACAGAGAAGTACACAATAAACAGCAAGTGCTGTAACTTCTGAATCATTTGAGATCGGATTTTGAAAATTGGTGGGTAGCAAGTATACCAAATTGCTCATTAATTGACAAACTAATTTTTGTTCTATCAGTTACGGCACCGGAAACGATCCTAACTTTTGATTTTTGAATAGGACACCCTTATTTATAATCAGGTTTATTTCCAAAAAAATTCAATATCATTTTCATTCGGCTTTTGGTTGTTTTCTTGTTTCGGGTCATGATTGATTACTTGCACCACTTGCACAACGACGACCAAATTCACCGAATACAAACAATCTGCCAATTTGAATAATATAATTTTAAAAATGTCAGTGCATGACAGACTAATTTGGGAGGTGGAAAATATATGTTTTGTTGTATATATCCCTATAGGTCGCGTGCACGATGACCGACCCTGGAGGCAAAATATTGAAACACAACCTCATTCTTCTGTGAATTATTGAAACACAACCTCACTTTTTTATTTGTTTTTTGTTTTTTTTTTGTATATCGCTACTTCAAAGTTGGGAACCAACTCCCCAGAAGTCGAAACTTGTGCGGGGTTAGGAAGAGCGGGACCTACAGCTTATAGTGGAATCCGAACCACTTCTAGGTCATCGAGGTGCTGCCAGGATTACAACCATAAATCACACATTTCAAAGAAAAATGCTCAGCCGATAGCCGGATTCGAACCGACAGTACCTCTGCATCGTGAACGGCTATCTAGCGAATTTCAGCGCATAGACAAACTCGGCCACGGAGCCCATCTACAGAGGAATCAAAAGGTTGAAATATTTTTTTCACAATATTTTGGCATACGAATCGTGTTTCTTGCGTTATTCATTAATTCAAGCATGCCACAAAAAATGCAGCAAGGGACTAGGGAATATGATTTTTCAGGTAAAGAGTAATCTCACATAGTTATCATTATGAAATGTTGTCATTCCTTATTAAAATTCCTTCTGCCTTCTGCCACTTCTGCAATACAAGCTAATACTGCTAATAGATTGAAAATGTCTACAACACACACGATCGTCAGCATGTCAGACCAGTTCTCCCGATTGATTGCATTGGATTCATGCATCTTCTTGCATTATTCTAGAAATTTCAGGTATATTTCTATTAGCTCCTATAGCAGAAGGAATTCCGATGAGAAATCAGAGAAATAACCAAATTTCAATAATGAAAACTATATGTGAGTGACTATAGTAGGTACTTACTTTTAAATCATAATGTACCATCCGGATTCCTTCATCTTCCGCTGCAGTTTTTGTGCATTTTACAACAGCACAATGTGATGGCATGAGCGAATTGATGAATAGCGGAAAAATACGATTCATATGCCAAAATAATTGTGGAAAACTATTTCGATCACTTGTCATATAAGAAAAGTGACGTTGTGTTTCATTGTTTTGCCTCCAGCGTCGGTCATCTGACAGTTCTTGCACGCAACCCATTATAAACAATAATGTTTCTTGGGGTAATAAAGAGGTTAGGTTAGATAATCATAAACCCTTCTTCTTCATTAAATAACGGTAATAACGGTACCTAACACTTAACAAAATGAGTAAAAACCAGTGTTGTCAGCTCAAAAATTCTCAAGCTTGATATTACTTGAACTTATAACCAATCTTGCAGTTACTGTCCAAACAGACTACAGAATTGCATAGCAATATTGTTATATAATATTATCATAACATTATTGTTGTGTTAGCAATGTTATATCCGAACAGAATCGACCCGATTGTCTATTCTGAAGAGCTTTACATCCTTTTAAAAAAATGCCTAACCTTCAAGAACAACCGGTATTTCGAATTCACCCTCAACTCGTTAAGTAGAAGGGCTTTGGAAGAAATCGAATAAAATAGTTTGAAGGTTCCATCTATAGCACTCACCTAAATCCGAATACGTCGTTTGACAGAATATCCTTCGCCCCCCGAAACTCAAATCGTACTTTGGCTGCCAAGGATCATCGTTTCCATGCTCTATGGCTTCGTAAGCATCTAATTTGTTGGCGAAAGTGACGAAGCCGTAGTTGTCTCTGGAAAATATGCAATGTGCACAAGTGTAGAAAGAACATAGACATTTTATTCATAAAACACTATTTGTTTACAATCATACATACTTCCGGAGTTTCTAATGAGTTAGGAAGAGAGTGCTTTGAAAAATGGCAACGCTGTAAACTGTGCGTCAATGTTCACACTTTTCTTCACCAGTCCCGTAGGTTAAGCGAGGGGCAAGACAATTTTGCTACAATGAGAACGCCATTATACCTAATAGAAAATGTTTGGGTCTAATCTACCTTAGGTACTTATCCAATTCTGATTCATCATTCAGTGGAATTTGAACAAAAAAACAAGGTTTCTTGCAATAATTTAGTTGAATAACCTACGATAACTACATCACTGCTCAAGTTAAAAGAAACAGAAAACCTTGGGGGTTGTATGGTGAATTATTTCACAATCCACGCACTGGCGAACCATATTTGATAACAAGAAAACACTGAAAATCAATTGAAGCACAAAAAATCCTGAAATGGTAACAAAAACAATACAACAACACTGTAACGTCAAATTTTGACATAGGTGAATGACTAAGAAAAATATGCTCAACTCGTAGTAAATATACAAATACAGCGTTGCCACACATATTTCCATAATACATTATAATTTCATGTAATGATGAAATTAGGAACATTTAAATTATTTCAATAGCAGAATTCACATATTTCAATTGAGGAACAAACATACAGAATGAATATACATAAAAAAGTACATTATATAATCAAGGTATGAAACATTATTCCCATATTTTCTTTCAAACACAGGCGGTAGATCTTGGGCAATCCGTAAAAATTTGTAATCATCGTTGTGTGCTGAATACGATGTTGGATCGGGAAAAAATGTAAATAATTTCGTCTCCCCTCTTTTTATATGTCTATGAGGAAGAATCTATTTTTTCAGGCTGTCTTATAAAAACATCTTGAGCTGTAACTTCTACTACAATTTCTAATCCGATTTGTTGGAGTAATAAAAGGTGTAGTGTTATGAAAAACACTACAGACTGGTTGTTATGTCAATATTTTTTGACTTCAACTGGAGCATACCACTCAATGTTCTGGTTTTCAAAAGGGAATGTTATTTTTAATGCTTCTACCTTGCAACCCAGGTATTTTTCTTTATTTTCTTTATTCACTCATGCATCACAATTTGTTTAATTAAAACTATCCATTGCCCGAAATTACCTTGATTCTACTTAATATTGTCAAGGGACCCTTGCCAGCAATTGCAGGCGCCACCCAGTAAGTCTGAAGTATGCCACTACATTAATCATTACTTGATTCATATTTGTGTCATGTAATTTATACTGGTCGTTTTGGTAGAGATAACCGGCCATGACGGGTTATTAGTCATTCATTGTATTTAGTAGCAATTACATTGTAAATCCCTAGTAAATACATTGAGAACTAAATGCTTTCAATTGAGAGCTCTTAAATCAATTTTGGGCATGCGAGGGCTCCTACTATTTCGTGCGCTCCAAGCGATAAAAAAAATACTCGAATGACATGTGGAATCACCATCTGGGGTAACTCATCTGCCGCTCATGAAGTCTTCATAGTGCAGAAACGAATTGTACGATGTCTTGCCAGTGTTCCTAGTGGCACCACATGTAGGGAATTATTCAAAGAATACAAGTTACTTCCCCTATGTGGGTTACATATCCTTGAAGTTTCAACTAATATACATAAAAAACGAGAAAGTTTAAAGAAACATAATTCAATACATAATTATCAAACGCGAACGAAGAATAATTTCTATTTGCCCAACGTACGTTTGACGATATCTCAGAATTCATCGGACATATGGGAACTCAGACTATACAATTCTCTTCCCGAAGAATTAAAATTGATCAATGAACTGCATACGTTCAAAAATAAAATGAAAATGCATCTCCTCGACATCTGCCCCTATAGTTTGAACGAATTTTCTCAATACCTGTTTGTTTGTTTACTTAGACTGAATGTTTTATAGTATTTCATATATCCAAATATTTGTACTGACTTGACTTGTCCGATAGCATATAACTGCTCTGTGGATTGAATAAACTTGAACTTGATACTTCGAGTATTTAAGAATGTCTTACAGATAGCCGTGGTCCCTCGAATGCAGGCTGACGTTGGTAATAGGACCGAAGCGATGGAACCTCTTCTTCAAGTCCTCCTTCGTTGTGCCCGGCGGCACTCTCCCCACGTATATCACCCGTCGCTCTTCCACCTCCAGGTGGCGTTCTTTCTCTTTGCGTCTGTACCTGGGCGAGAGGGACCTCGACCTCGACCGGGAGAACGATCTGAGGAACAATCGAGATTCGTACGTGAAGATCTGAATACCTATCTAATGTAGAGTCCCTGTATGTATACGACAGTTTTGCTGTTAAATACATACAAGGGACTCTAATCTAATCCAGTAGTCGTTTTCATTATCGTTCCCCATGTGTTATGTCTTTTTAATCTGAATCTGTAATTATCCAACAAAATTTCCTGGTGCGTTTTGAGGTATTAAAAAAAAACAATAGTACATTATACATCAAGGGACAGAAATGCAATATTTTCTCCAAGGTGCGAAGCCCGAGAGATACAAAGCACCGAGAGGGAAAAATAGCATTCTGTCCTGAGGTGTATATACTATTTTTTACGCTGGCGAAAACACAAAAATTGAGAAAGAATAAAAATTTGGTCATAATTCGCGGGAATCAATGGTGGCGCTCGATTTTCATCGTTCCATGTCAAAGCCACGTCAAAACTGGGGAAAAAAAACTCAATCCTCACTCAATCCCATTATAGTGCCATTACCTTGTGTACTATGTACTGATAAGAGTGATGTTTTTTTTTTTCTTGAAATTTATTGTCAATATTCGATCGAAAACGCTAATAATGCCTGTTGTAGATGTTCTTTTGGCAGATATTTTGCTCTATTCAGATGGAAAAAGCCGACCAGTAGTGAAAGGGGAAGCAGTTCTCCGTGCTAATCATGTGATTTTGTATGAGGCAGAAGACTTCAACATCTATGCTTTAACAAAAGGCACATTTTTGCACTTTGTCTACAAACTTCGGCGATGAAATCTTCCCCACATGAAGTAAAATTGAAGTTGGGGTCCAGAGGAACTCCTGTAGAACAATGGATTTGTATTTGTTCATGCAAAGCAGGACAATCTGGGTATTGTGTAGCTGTTTTTTATATGTCAATTGATTTGCTCGTCATAATTAGTTTGAATTGTTTGAACTATCTCCAATTCTTCACCTGTTCACTGTTCACTAAACGTAAGTGTAATAATGTAAAAAAATTAACCATCAACACTTTATGTCATTGATAAGTTTGACTACAGCTACAGCAATCTGAATGCAATGTAGTCTATGCACTTTATCCATAGACAACAGTTTGTTTTCCCACAGTTTGAAGTTCGTATTATGTAACCTAGATGTCGCCACTTCGTGAATCTCGCGAATTAGTAGTAGTATAGTTTGTGGAATTCGTATCTTGACAACATGCATCTTGTTGACAACCCATGGTGACAGCAAATATCAAACTGAAATTTATAAAAACAGCTTTGAAAATGGTTATGGAACAAGAAATCGATGGAAAACCCCAAGAAACTATTGATACTGCTGCTGCAGTGATTGTTAACTTGCTACCAGTGAGATCTATAAATCTATACTCGCTTCGGTGTTCCGAAAAGAAAGCGCAGAGCTGTGCGGAAAATGTAAAGTTGGTATAAACACCCTAGGGAGAAAATATGTTACATTATCTTCCTAGGGAATAATACGAGACTTCTGTCCCCCTTTTGTTACCAGATAAACTAACTTCTACTCCGTCGGCGTAAAAAGAAATTTTCGAACTTTTTTTGTTCTTCGCTATGCGTATAACGAAAAAACAAAGCATACATTATTTGAAGAAGATTGCATTTACTACGATATGAGTATAACCGCAGCACTGTAAGTCCTATAGATATCGAGATAGAGCACTTCAAATATGGGTCAATGTTTCCAATAAATTATATTTCAAGTATTGAGACAACTTTTGAACTAAATACTGATCCTACGAGGAAAATTGTCAGGAGCGAAGTTGTGGTAAATATTTTCAGCTCCAATTCCTATACAGAGCGAAGCGAGTAAATCGAATGATCGACACATAATATGCAAAAAGTAAAAAAAATAGAGAATGTTTCCCAATGTTTCACTCAAAACTTGAGATATAATTTTTTGGAAAAATTCAATATTTGAAGTTTTGTATCGCGAGAACCATTACAGTGCTGCTTGTGTACTCAAATTGTGGCAAATTCAATCTCATTTGAATTTGGTATGATTTGTTTTTTCCTCCTGCACATACTTTTAGGGATTATAAGCGAAAAACAAATGAAAGTTCGAAAATTTCAGTGTTTTTTACGAATATCTCAAACCGCTTCACCTATAAATTTTGTTAGATAACCCCAGATCCGGACACAGCAACCCGAAAAACTCAAGGAATGATAATTTTTTGCAACCAATAAAATTTAAACTGAGGTATTTGTTATTGAATGTTCATTGTTCAGGTACACAGGGTGTCCGAGAAAATGAGGAAAATCTCTCGGATTCAGATAGAAACTGAAAAAACGGTTCCTACCAGCTCTCCTTACGGAAACATGAGTTCCTCAAGGACGCCAATGGAAATCTGTTTTTATTAATAACTTTCAAAATGTTTGTTATAATTCAATGAAAATTTGGAATGAAGGACACTGGTAAGGACTGACCACGTAGATCACTCGCCGCTCTTCCACCACCAGGTGGTGTTCTTTCTTTTTACGTTTTTATCTGGGCGAGAGATCTCGACCTCGACCGGGAAAACGATCTGAGGAAATATCGAGAATTGTACGTGATACAGGGTTTCACAAAAATGATACACATTCCTGGGACCAAAACAATTCTATACTAGCAAAGTTACCTCAGTACAAAGTTGCTTATTTTGGGCGGTAGACGGCTCTGAAGTTACAATTTTCTAATCGTTTATGATTCATAACTTTGGAACAGCTCATGTGGTGTCACTCAAATTTGGTAGGTACTTTGGCACAGCTTTATTGGGCAATATGACCCGTACCATTAACACGATGAGTATCATTCCATGATAGTGAAACTAATTTTTTTCAGTGAATACACATCCGAAACTTCTACGCCAATGGAATGAAAGGCGTTTGGATATGAAATTTGGATTTTGTAAGTTATTTACTACAAAAAAGGTATTCCTGATAAAATTCGATTACCCACATTGTTTTGACAAAATTTGAATTTCAGTAAATTAGAGCACCAGTCAACATTAAAACGATTAACAGATATTTCATACGAATTGTTCAAAATATTGTTATCAGTTCCACGTATACAAAGATTTATAAAACGACAACGAAAAAATTCAAATGTGCTATCATCCATTTTTCATGTTTTTGTACCAAGTAAGCCAGTTTTCTAGCGCCCAGACCAGAAGAGTGAAAATGATGAACATTTCATGAAGACATAAGTGTTATAATGTTAACTGATGCTTTAAACTACAAAAATTCAATATCAAAAGTACCTTTTTTGTAGTGCTCTGTAGTGAACAAGTTACTCAATCCAAATTTTTTTTCAATCGTCTTTCATTCCATTGGCGTGAGATTTTTAGATATTTATTTACGAAAAAAATCCGGTTCTATGCCCATGGAATGATACTCATACTCATCATAATCATATTATGGGTTTTATTGCCCAATGAAGTTATGCCCACATACCAAATTTGAGAAAAGTTTTATGAGCCGTTTCAAAATTATGAAGCAAACACGATTTGAAAATTGCAACTCCAGAGCTGTCTAGCGCCCAAACTAAGCAACTGTATACTTGCGTAAATTTGCTCCAATATAATTGTTTTGATATGAGGAATAAGTGGTGTTTTTATATACCTTCTAGGGACACCTTGTATAACCTTCCCAATAAAATTTGTCAGTTTCCATCAAATTGGATTGTTCGTTTGTTGCAATTTGAAGTAGCGATATACAAATATGATAACAAATAGTGATACAAACCTTGACGAATATCTGGAAGACGATCTTCTACACAAAGAGCTTTGAGAACTCCTAGAGCTCCGAGAACTACTACAGGACGAGTTGGAACTCCTCCTCCTCCTTCTGAAATCATGTGATAACCTTTGAGTCCCTTTTGTATCAGCCACGAAACATTTTATTTTGCGTGAAATGATGTTCGGAAAAATGAGTAAGATTGAGTAAGATATATGACAGGCGCATGGTCCTAGGTCTCCAGTTCGTGAATTGACAAGCTTTTGTCCTCTGGTATTAGCGGTTTAGATAGTAGGTTATGTCGGTAATTTTGGACTACTATATCAATTTTGCTGTTGGCTTTCATGTTGGCGAATATAAATTTCGCTTAAGCTAAAGCGGAAACTTGGTTCAGGACTAACAATCTCAAATTAAATAAAAATGAAACACAACATCTATTATTTTTCTACAAACAACTCAAAAGCATTTGGTGAAACTTTTGAACTGTTAGGTGTTACACTGGACGACAGACTAAACTGGTCAGCTCACACAGAGCAGATATGTATGAATATTTCTAAATACTTATTTTTACTCCCGTAAAATGAAGACTATCATTAGTTTGCAAGCTTTACTATCAGCTTATTAGGCTTTCTCCCATTCAAGAATTTCATATGGAATAATATTATGGGGAAATAGCGTTAATGCAAACGAAATTTTCTTTTTACAAAAAAAGCAGTATGAATAATCAGTGGGTCAGAGTTTACCGACTCCTGTAGACCGCTCTTCCTAGAACCCAGTATCATGACGTTACCATCCATTAACATCTATCAATCTATTTTAGAGATACATAAAAACAAGAACAATCACGAAAATAATGCTGACTTCCATACTTACAACAGTAGAGGCTGTCAATTGATAAGACCATATAAATTCAGATTACAAAAATCAAGTAGAAACTCTCTCAATGTGAATCTTTACAACATACAACCCACTTACGTCAAAGCATTGAGTTACAATAGCTTCAAAAAACACATGCATTCACATCTGACCTCCAATGTATATTATACTACTGGGGAATATATAGCTGCCCTAACATTAACAAAATAAATAACAATTATTTCTCATATTTTATTTTTATATACATTACTTTTTATAGTTTTATCGTAGCCTTTTCATATCATCTTTGTATGTTTGTATGTACATACTTTTTTTAGGTTTAAATTTTTACTTCATCTGTAAATCTCTATTTCATAGCCACTTGGTTTCTGTAATATTCGTGACCTATATGTATATTGTGACGTATCTTATTTGTATTCTTATAAATGCATCTAAAAGACAAATAAATTATCTATCTATCCATTTTCAAAATTATATAACTGCAGAGGTCTGTAGAGAGGTAAAAGATCCCAAATGAGTAATTGATGATACAGAGACATTAGTTAGTTCATGGCAATGCTCTGAATCATTTGTGATAATCTATGTTGTCGATGTTATGTTATGTTATCCCCACCGTTCGTGATTGCATTCAATTATTCGTATTCGGCGTAAATCTGGTAACATTCTCAAGCCAGCTTGACTACTTAGCAGAGTTTATAATTAACCCGAGAGATTAAGATTAATTTTGTATCTTCCTACTTTTGTATTCGATTTCCTATCGAGTTGAACTTGAATAAAACGAAGATAGAAATTCCACTCACGTGTAATGGAATTCGGATATCCTACCTGTTATAACGAGACGAAGATCTGCTGCTTCCTCTGGAAGAAGTCGACGAACAACTGGAACTCGACGAGCTTGACCGCCTCCTCCTGTACCTAGAGTTGGAAAAAAAGTACTCTTGATTGGTACATGAAATTTCATTGGATGTATTCATTAAATATACAGATTGTTTCCCCAATCGTTTGTCGTTACACATGGGGTATATGAATATGAATACAGCAAGAGACTGATTCGGCTATTGCACGTCTCCTCTAGATATTTGGAACGGAATTAAACCCTGAAATTCATTACGCGTCTAACTGTCCAACGGTGAGCGTTGTTCTCCGTGACTGCATGTTCTCTCTTGATACTTCTATTTGTAACGATTCGATAAACAATCTGTATAAAATTCAACATATAATCTGGCTTCTAGAAGATTTCAGCAGGAATAAATGTGAGCCCAAAGCACAATATAAATGTTGCGATCATCAACTCACTGTCAATTTGAAAACGGAATCTCAAGTGCTCGATAAAAGTTGTGGCATCAATGGAGAAGTTTCCTTCAGATGAATTTTCATGAAATAAGTTCAGAACTCCTCAGTTTTGTGTCCACGCTGTACAGAATGGCGATAGATAAAAGTCCAAGCCGTTTTTTTGGAAAAATATAGCAATTTACAATTTTTGGTGCGGCAAGCTGTGACGTACATTCTGAATTTAGTCTGAATATAGCTGATGATGAATATAGCTAGCGAATAACTAACGAATAAAAAAAATAGAAGAAGACAACTTGGCGTCGTTGTTGATGATGGAGATAAAAAATCGACACAAGTAAAACTGGTAAACAAAAACATACATAACCACAATATCAGATCAGATGTAGATGTGCCTGTAAGTATTTTGTGCGGTGTCGACGGGCTCAGAGTATTATGCGCTGTTGCAAAAACAGTGACTGACAAGTTATGATCATCATTTTGTAATATGACGAAAGTGAAAAATTATAGATACTATTGCAAAATATCATGATGAACCTTGGGAATAATAAAGTTGATTGATTGAACTTCAGCCAGCAAATACGAGATTTATGAAACTTATTCATAATACTCATCGAAGTGAGATTGAAAATACATATTATACAGGGTGTCCCGAAATTAGCCTGCCAAACTTCACCAGCGGCTTCTGAGATCTAAAATAAGAAGAAAAGTTTCAATGGATATGAGTCGAGAAATGTCCTCTAAGGGAGCTACGATTCCCTGAGAAGGGGCTCCTGAAGATGATATCTCTTGAATATTTCCGAGACGCCAAGTGATGAAATGATGTAATTTGGAACAAGAACTGAACTTTCTATTCAGGATATTTTTTGACAATTCAATCTCGTATTATGAAAATCCACACCGTTTCACAATAAAAAGTGCTCCTGTTCCGCATCGATCAGATGTAACATTTTCGAGTGAATTCGTTTTAAAAATATTGATGCACTCGAATCTCATGCATAACGTTGTCCATTTGTCCATTTTCAAATTAAAGTGGCTATAAAAAATCAAGTACTCTCTCTTTGCCAAACAATATCATGAAAGCGCCGCGAAAAATAGAAAAATGATAATGAAAAAACTACTTCCATTGTTGTGGGGGGCCGTAGCTCCCTCAGGAGACATTTCTCTGCTTATGTTCATTGAAAGTGTTCTTCCTATTTCTGGTCGTAAAAGCCGCTGGTAAAGTTTGGCAGGCTAATTTCGGGACACCCTGTATATTAATCACCACCCTTCCCAAGTACCTGCTCGCCTTGCTCTGCTGTATCAACGAAATATTCGTCTGACACTCGACGCTACTAGTCGACACGGCCGCCCTGTTCCTCGGCAGGTACACGATCGTCTTGTCCTCGCCGTGCTCGCAGCCTTTGGGCCGCTGCGGCTGCTGCTGCTCGGCATCGCGCGACACGTCGCAGCTGTCGATCACCTGTCGATAATACAGGGTGAGGAACTGTACAGTGTGTCCAGTTTTCGATGCTTTTGCGTGATATCTCAGTTAGAGTCCCTGTATATACCTTAGACAAGAGTCTGGACACAGTTATACTTCAGTCCTTTTCTGTTTTCAAAAAATGCATTGATGATTGAATAAAGGAATAAGACATATATATCGAGCTCTGTCTTTTCAATTCCCCTAGGATCAATGATTGTCAGAAAAAATTTTGAGGGTTAGATTATTTGTCAAACCGTTCATAGCCGTAGGTAGAAGTGAGAAATAGGGCTGTTTTGACTAGAATAACTATAAGATTTTCAAATAATGAACAACAGGGTGTTCAAATTTCGAATCGATAATTTTCATAATCAATGCCTGAGATGGCTTTTGCAAATTTTTGTCATTAGATATTTCTTCACTTCATTAGATAAATAATAATATAATGTGTTACACAGTGATTATACATTGAGTTTAAATTCATCATTATTGTATGTACAAGATATATGTAATTATTAAATTTGCTAGTGTAAAAAAAAAAGAAATGTCTATTGTGAGGCAAGAATTTTGAAGGAATTTCAGTCTTCTGAATTGATTAAGCATTCCAATAGTGTGTTTTCCGGAAACTTCCGTCTTGGGTTCACTGTTGGATCTCTCTGTAAACACTGGAATTGGATAATTTGGAGATTGGATTCGTTTTTGGAAAACTTCAATGTTAGCTTTTTCAGTCTCTCGATCAGGAATTGGTTGCACCCTGGTCAGCCGATATAGAAGTTCGTTTGATGGATGGTGAAGTCTACATTCACCTGTGAATTTTGAATTTGATCTGAATTAAAAACACCGTGGACTAATGACATAGCACATTGCAATTTCTCTAAATCTTATTCTAGTTTTGATTTCAAACTTTCAATTTCTTTCCGCATCATCTGATTCTCATTTTCTTTCTCTGCGATCGTATCATTCAGTAATTCCCAATACGATGACGACGGAACTTTTTTTTGAACGTCTCTATTTTATAAATTGACGGCACAGCAGACTCTTTCAATTTGAAATCCATCAGCTTGGAAGAATCTCTATCAAAATGGGCCTAAAATTCATCTTTTTTGTACTGTTTTTTCAAGTAAATTTGAATATTCACCTCACCATATTGCGGATTTCTTGAAATTAATTTTCCATTCTGGACGTTTCATTGCATTCTTCCATGACATTATCTTTAAAGGATCATTCGGAAAATTGAATAACTTGAATCCCTTTTCTAATGAATTATCGCAATAATGTACGCAGCAGGACATTGAAATAATTCAAAATGCTAAATTTTGCGGTCATAAAATTTCAAAGTGACAGTGACAAAAATAATTAAATAAAGCGGGCGGGACGACTATGATGGTGTTTCGTCACATTGTCAGGTAGGCAAACCAAATGAAACAAAATATTAAAAACCCCAACGGCTGTCAGTTTTGTGTCCGGACTCTTGTCTAAGATATATACAGGGACTCTAATCTCAGTTATCTTTCGAGATAGAACCTTGCGGTTTTCGCGGTCCTGTGCCACTTTTTTGTGAAACTCAAGATGATCTAATCAGATTTTGCATAACTGTTTGCGTTTATGAGATACACGGCGATTTTGAAATCTTATTCCATAGAGAATTTTGCGCAGCGTCCAGTGGCGCACTAAATTTTTTTTTTCGGAGTATGGTTTTGCAGATACGACTCAAACTTATGATTTTTCAAATGGAACACCCTGTATTTTATAAGCTCATTGAATTCCTTATTTTTTTCCCATCAAAATAAAATATGATGTATAATTATAAAATTTTCAAAAATGCTCCAAAATCACTAAAACATTGAATTTTAATAGTGGGCTATGGATTTTTCATTCGATTGAAGGAATATTTCATTTGATTTTTCCATGAAAAGGACAACAACATTCCAAACACTAGTTAACTAAGAAAACACAAAAATTAGGTACGTGATAGCAACAAATAAATAGTAATAAAAAGTTCTTGTTCGTTCTTTATTATCGTTGTTGAAGTTCATTCATCATTTTTAAATGTAGTTTGAATTGTTTTCAGTTCAGTTGTGTTGAACAAATGAGTTTTAATTACTGCTATGAACAGCTTTCTTGAAATTTGACGGCTTTGGAATTCCTTGCCAATTGAAGTATTCCCAAGACCTTATAACCTTCAAAAGTTCAAAGAAAATTCCAACACCTACCTCCTCTCCCTATCTTCCCTAGGAACGCACAATACTTCACGAACACTATAGGAATTTGCTTTCGTGCGCTCCAAGAGATGAGATAGAATTCGCCTTCTCTTTTATCGCTGCATCTAAAAACTTAAAAGCACTGTATTTAAAAAATGACGTCAATAAAATATCAAGTGTGCTATATTTTTGGAATGGTATTGAAATAATTATGCAGAAATATACAGGGTGTTATATATTTAGATTTTCAGAAAACTTTCGATCAATTGGATCATTATGAACTACTGAATAAGTTGGAAACGGTCGGATTCAGTGATGAATGCATCTTTTTAAAAACTATCTTCTTGGTATGCAACAATTTTTGGAATATATGGGTTTCAAGTCGGATATTTATACAGTCTCGTCTGGGGTTCCGCAAGGATCGAATTTGGGCCCTCCTCTCTTTTTAATTTTTATAAATGATTTGGCAACATCGATAAATTATCCCAGCTTATTTTTTGCGGACGATCTGAAATTATTCAGTTCTATAGAGGATATGGATGACTGTGATGACTTACAACAGTCCCTAAATGAAATTATTGGATGGTGCGACTTAAATCGTCTGAATCTAAATGTATCTAAATGCATCAGTATGCCATATTCCAGAAAAAAAATTGTAATTCCATATGAATATTTCATCAATAATAATTTTCTGAAGCGAAATGAGGAAGCTTAGGAATTGGGTATTGTTTATGACTCGAGATTCACATTTCATCATATCGACACTGTTATATCTGCAGCCTCGAAGATGTTAGGTTACATTTACCTCAATTGTAGATTTCAAAAATATCTTTGCACTTGAACTTCTTTTTTACTCGTATATAAGATCTAAACTTGAATATGGTATTCAAAGAAAATTTTTGAGATATTTATGAAGGTAAATCGTTCTGGATAATTTCGGAATGATCTCTCTAGAAAGACGTCGAACATTTTTGAGTGTGATATTTCTTTACAAATTAATGCATAACCAAATCGATTGCTCTGTATTTCTCAATCAAATAAACTTTCCCATTCCAAGATTGAAAAGTAGACAATCAAACATGTTCTACAATTTTGCTACTAGAACGAGAACTATGCTGAAATCTCCAATTTATGTGTGAAAACTTCCACAAAATTCCTCATATATGTGATATTAATCATGACTCACTGAGAGACGTGATTAATAAATTGTAAGATTATATGCACTAGTTATAGTTGTACATCTTGTTTTGGTCATCCTACTGTTATGGTTAGTATCCTGCATTTCTTAGGTATAATCTATCTAATCCTCGTCTTTGTCTCATGTTATTTATATTATTCTGTCAAATGTGTAATTAATAATCGGAAGCTGATATTTATTTGTAGCATTTCCTGTTATTGGGTGTAAAACCGGTTGAAACTAAAAGCCTTTTTGTTTCATCATTATTTACCTAGGATCAAAAAGTATTATTTCTCATTAGAGGAAATCCTCGAATAATGGTGATTTCTCATATTATTGGTGGAAAAACATGTTTTTATATATTTGGAGAAATTCCAAAATAAAGACTGATTATTATTACCTTCGGTATGTTCTCGATGACGGAGGTGATCAGCGAGCTGGAGTTGATTTTCGTGCTGGCCTGTTGCAGGAGCGGCTTGATCTCGTCCAGTTGCTCGACGGGGGCGAGGGGGTCGAGGTTTTTGCGGCGCACCTTTCGAAATAGTCATCAAATATACACTCGCCAACAAAAAAAAACGACAAGAAAAAAATTAGCCGCATTTGGTGAAATTTCGACGTACAATTCATGTTTCAGAATGTTAACACGTTCAGTGACAGTTCTCATATCTCAGTTGATCGAAATCATTGGTATTTAATCACTTGTTCACAGATTTCATTAAAAAAATAGTGGTCTGAATAATCAACAATATTTCAACTACGAAATAGCCACAATGCTTAAAGTGGAATGAAATGTTAAATAAATACGAAAAAGTTCAGTCATTTCCACAAATCGAAGCGCTGACGGGGCAGAATTAAATACAAATAAAACCAAAGCAATGATTATCTCAACTAAACATAGACACAATTCAATTGACAAAACATCAATAAGTATAAATGTTTATGATGAGGAAATTGATATTGTAGAGGAATTTAAGTATTTGGGGTTTATTGTTGATCAAACATTGGACATGAAAAAACATTTTCAATATATCCGTGACAAAATTGTTAAAAAAATGTATTTCTTCAGTCGTGTCAATAGGTACTTGCCGTTTCAAACTTCTATTACAGTTTTTAAATCCATTATTCAACCCCATTTCGATTACTGTGCTAGTTTACTGTCACTGATAGATGCGAACTCTGTGTCCTCACTACAGAAGTTACAAAATAGAGGTATGCGTTTGATATTGAAATGTAATAGATATACACCAACAAAAACGATGCTTGAAGTTCTAAATTGGCTAACTGTAAAGGATCGCTTGTTTTATTTCTCAATGATACTTATTTTCAAAATAATTTCTGGTAATGCTCCCTTATACTTTGATCAATTCATCATATTCCAGAATCAAATTCATAATTATCCTAACAGAGGTAATAATAACCTGTATGTACCACGCCTTAATTACACTAGTTCAATGAACTCTTTATTCCATAAAGGACTACTAGAGTACAATGGCCTCCCAGATGATATAAAACAAAGTGAATCTCTTAGAACATTTAAGAAATCCCTTGTTAGATATTTGAAAATGAGATATCGATAAACCTCAGAGTCTTTTTTTTTCTAGTCGATAGTATCGACAATTCTCCATTTCACTATTTATTGTTTGGATTATATGAACTTCATCTGTGTAATATACTTATATTTAAGACTTTACAATTTATAAACTTTAATGAATGTAGTTTGTATATTAGGATGCCCTATTTGAATAAATGATTATTATTATTATTATTATAGAAGGACGATCTAGCCTTCATAGCCATCTAGTGGCTCAAGTGCAAAGGTGTATAGGTAGATTCAACAATCATACCTTGTTTTTTATCGCTTGGAGCGCACGAAAGGGAATCCCTATAATGTTCAAAGAACATCGTGCGTTCCTAGGGAGGATAGGGACAGGAGGTAGGTATTGGAATTTTTTTTGAACTTTTGGAGATTATATGTTGTTGGGAATACTTCCACAGGCAATGAATTCCAGAGCCTAGCCGTTCTATGGATGAAGGAGTCTTGATAAAGTGCTGTTCGACATCTTTCGAGGTTGACAACGAAAGGATGTGCTGACTGGGCTTGTCTAGTTCGTCTGATTGGTATTGCTAGTGAAGGGATGATAGCAGAGATTTCCGAAGAACATTTCCCGTGGAAGTATCGATAGAAAAGTGAAAGGTCGCCGACCTTTCTACGGTGTTCCAATGATGTCAAAGAGTGAGTGAGTGTGGCGTCACCCACCAGGCGAATGGCTCTTCTCTGGATGGAATCTAAGAGCATCAGCGTATGTTTTGGTGCTGAACCCCATATGTGGGAACAGTATTCTAGAACAGGCCGTATCTGCGCTTTGTAGATCATGAGAAGCTGTTGAGGTGTAAAGTAGCTTTTCGCACGGAACAAGAGTCCGAGTTTTTGTGAAGCAGCTTTTGCGAGTCTGGTCTATATGCTTACAGAAAAAGAAAAGTCAAGTCTTGACTTTCTAGGTTTATCACCATCTGTTAGTGGAACATTAAACCACTTTGAGAATTACAGGTGTTGCGATAGTCTACAGAATTCTGATATGGTGTCTTTTCTGTAAGCATATAGACGTAGGGGTCTATATGCACGACTTACTCAAGGTATGATTGTTGAATATACCTATACAACTTTGCACTCAAGCCACTAGATGGCTATGAAGGCTAGATCGTCCTTCTGCTCCCTCAGGGCTTCGATTTGTATAATATATGGAGGTACCCTTCGTGAATCGATTGTCAGCTGGCCAGTGCAACTGATGAGACTTATGGCAAGTCGAAACAGTCTGTTTTGCATCAGCTGACAATCGATTCACGAAATTTCCCTAGAATCTCTTAGTCTTGACTTTCTAGGTTCATCATTTCCACAAATGTTCATAAAATTATCAACAATGGTAGATGACGGGAGAAAAACAAATACTTTCATGGCTGATGCCACCCAGAACGTATAAATGAATACTAAATCGGTATGTAGGTGTCGTTGCATAAACCTGGCAAGATCGAAATCAATCGGCATTAGGGAAAGAAACACTTGCGTTAGTAGGTATGTTCCGTAAATCAACTTGGTGAATCAATTGTCAGCTGGCCAGTGCAACTGATGAGACTTATGGCAAGTCGAAACAGTCTGTTTTGCATCAGCTGACAATCGAGTCACGAAATTTCCCTAGAATCTCTTAGTCTTGACTTTCTAGGTTCATCATTTCCACAAATGTTCATAAAATTATCAACAATGGTAGATGACGGGAGAAAAACAAATACTTTCATGGCTGATGCCACCCAGAATGTATAAACGAATACTAAACCAGTATGTAGGTGTCGTTGCATAAACCTGGCAAGATCGAAATCAATCGGCATTAGGGAAAGAAACACTTGCATTAGTGGGTATGTTCGGTAAATCAACTTGGTTATTTCGGTTAATAGTTTTCTGTTCCGTTAATATGAAATGTTCGGTTATCTGAAAAAAAGATTATTTACGGAACCCAGTTGCTGAAAAAGCGGTAGATTCATTGTCACCAGAACGACCGTGGATTTTCTCTTTTAAGTTCGGTGTCTGATTTGACGTAGACGTGTTTTAGTTTTCGGTTTCATTCTTTACAAATTACAACGAAACACAATATTCCCATTATAATTATTGTGTCAAGTTCTGATGGATTCGTTTGCTGAGGTGAATTAATAATATTGGATATAATTCCTGTTTGATGACGTTTTCTCTATTTGGACATACATTCTTTGCTGTGCATACTGTGGACAAGAATTAGTAACATTTGGGTGCTATAATTGAAAATTAAATACTGGCAGAGCAAAACCGATCAGAACTATAATTTGACAAATGACTGACATTCCGTAAATAAACCACAACCGTAGTCACCAGTAGATAACCACTGTCAAAATTGTTGGTACCGGCCCTGAGAGCATCGGAAACCTCGGTTGATTAACGGAACATATCCAGAATTCGTTTATACATATTGATGCATATATTTCGGGACAATGTAATGCTATCTAGGAGATTTAGCCAGGAAAGTAGTTGTTTTTCTCCCGTCTTTTTTGTATATATTCAATGATATATTTGATAGGGAAATATTACCCTGAAATCAGTGTTGATTGTTGATAATTGTTTTTCTCCCGTCTTTTTTTGAATACAGGGTGTCTGTAAAAGGTTGGAACATGGCTCGGCTGTGGACTCCTGGGATAAAAACAAGTTGATTTGAGCCAACTTACCTATATCCAAAATCGTCTCGTTGAGTTGGTACAAGGCGTCGAAGTTTTTTTTGGAAAAAATAATTTTGCTCATAAAAAGAGCAGGCTGAAATCGATTTTCATAATTTTTGGCATGGCATGTTCTGTGACTGTGAGCCACGTTTTGAGATGTTTTTGATTGTCATCAGTACCCTGAAAGTGTTTCAAACAACCATGTTGCCGTACAAATTTTGTGATAACTTTTCAGAGGTTAGACTGGAAACTTCCAGTAATTTTTCTCCAGAAAGATATTTCTTTCAGAAATATTTTTAGTATCGTGTTAATTTTTGATAAGTCTTGAGATTCATTTGCAAATAAATAATTTCTGATTAGATGCATCCTGCGCATTTTTGAAAATTATTCTAATTTGTCGGACTGTTTATTGATCATGGCTACACTGTGTTCTTATTGTGAACAAACTGATATGTTGCTGGTCCTCCCAGGCTTCACAAGAACTCTCGCGTTACAAATTTAGTGATAACTATTCAGGACCTACGGTGAGAACTTTAACGCCTTGTACCAACTCAACGTAACGATTTTGGATATAGTTGAGTTGGCTAAAATCAACTTATTTTCATCCTAGCAGTCTACAGTCATGCCATGTCCCAACCAGATTATCTTTTTTTTAGAATGCATAAGATGCCTCAGATCAGAAATTATTTATTTGCAAATGAACCTCGAGACTTATCAAAAATTAACAGGATACAAAAAATATTTCTGAAGGGAATATCTTTCAGGAAAAAAAATGGAAGTTTTCAGTCTGACCCCTGAAAAGTTATTACCAAATTGGTACGGCAACATGGTTGTTTGAAACACTTGCAGGTCCCTGATGATCAAAAACATCCCAAAACGTAACTTACAGTACATGAAAATCGATCTCATCCTACTCTTTTTACGAGCAAAATTATTTTTTTCCAAAAAAACTTCAACGCCTTGTACCAACCCAAAGAGACGATTTTGGATAGTCCCAACCTTTAACAGACACCCTGTATATTTAATAATAGTTTTGATAGGCAAATAAACTACTCAACACTAATTTCGTCGCACACCAAAATGTCGCCCCTGTTTTAATGTGAATAACTTTTTTCAGTTTAGAACTATTTGAATTTGGTTCACACTGTTCGATAGCCCAGTCCTTCAGCTATAATCTGGTACTTCATTGAAACATGAGGGTATTCACATAAAATCTCTACATGGTGTTTTCCGACACTGTGAAAAATTTCGGAATATTCAAAAAGCTCTCAAATGGTGAAAAAAATGTTTTTCTCAACTTCGACAACAGAGGCATGAAGATGATTTCATTACCTCGAGATATTTCGCGAATCAACTGCCTATCTCTCTTATTTACAGAGTGATCTCAAAAAATCAACTTTTTGGTTTTGCAGCCATAACTTTTTTCCACGTCAACGGATTTTGGAAATCTTAGGCTCATTTTGATGATAAAACTTCAGATGAAGAGATCTGAATATCAGAATTGACTCAAGATGGCTATCGAAGATCTAGAGTTTTCTTGAAAGTGACCCAAATCTGGAACGCCCTTCGAGTCTTGGTTGGGAGGAGAATTGAATGAAAATCAACTTGTTCTCGGAAAAACAATTCATTCTGGATGCGTTCATATTTTCCTCGCTCTCAGTAGTCAAGAATTGTGCGTGAGAAAACACAATTGAAACATGTTCTTGCAAAAACATTAGATCATTTCTCCTCTGTAATGCATGGCCCGCCGTAACCAACGTTACAAGAATCACAATGAGTGACTGACAAACCCGACCAGCTGAGGCTCATCATAAATGGTGTACCAACAAGAGCAACGGATTTTGATTTTTTCAATAGAGTGATTTTTTTAACAGTTGTCACGTACATAACATGCGATTTAAGAATATGGAGAAGTATTCAAGCAAACAACGTTTATTTATTGTAAAAACGCATTTCAAAAATGGTGAAAGTTTCACGAAAACAGTTTGCCAATTACGTAAAGTTTTCAGTCGCAATAATGCGCCGAACGAATCGACAGTAATAACCAAATAATTCGTGTCGGAGATAAGCCCTTTGAATGGATCCGACTGTCGTGTTTAGCAGATCCGCGATTTGCAGGAAAGATATCCCTTGTTCCCTCATTTGTGGAATCAGTTCTAACTGATCGGGCGTTAGATGCGGCATCGAAACTATCAAAATCTGTTTATGTTTTTGAAAATATGGACGCATCCAGAATGAATTGTTTTTCCGAGAACAAGTTGATTTTCATTCAATTCTCCTCCCAACTGAGATTCGGAGGGGCGTTCCAGATTTGGGTCACTTTCAAGAAAACTCTAGATCTTTGATAGCCATCTTGAGTCAATTCTGATATACAGATCTCTTCATCTGAAGTTTAATCATCAAAATGAGCCCAAGATTTCCAAAATCGGTTGACGTGGAAAAAAGTTATGGCTGCAAAACCAAAAAGTTGATTTTTTGAGATCACTCTGTAAATAAGAGAGATAGGAAGTTGATTCGCGAAATATCTCGAGGTAATGAAATCATCTTCATGCCTCTGTTGTCGAAGTTGAGAAAAACATTTTTTTCACCATTTGAGAGCTTTTTGAATATTCCGAAATTTTTCACAGTGTCGGAAAACACCATGTAGAGATTTTATGTGAATACCCTTATGTTTCAATGAAGTACCAGATTATAGCTGAAGGACTGGGCTATCGAACAGTGTGAACCAAATTCAAATTGTTCTAAACTGAAAAAAGTTATTCACATTATAACAGGGGCGACATTTTGGTGTGCGACGAAATTAGTGTTGAGTAGTTTTAATACCTTGAAATCAGTGTTCATTGTTGATAATTGTTTTTTCCCGTCTTTTTTGTTTATATTCAATAATAGTTTTGATAGGGAAATATTACCCTGAAATCAGTGTTTATTGTTGATAATTATTGTTTTTCTCCCGTCTCTTTTGTATATGTTTAATAATATTTTTGCTAGGGAAATATTACCCTGAAATCAGTGTTGACGCCCACGCTGACCAGAGTCTTCTTCTCCATATCCGCCGGTATCGTCACCGGTTTGGGCGGCGTCACCACCACAGCCTCCTCCTCCCTCTTCACCTCCTTCTTCGGCGGCGTGTTCAGCACCTCCAACGCCATGCGCATCAGCTTCTCCTGGTGCCGGATCCGACGCGTGTTCTCGTCCTCCGGCTAAAGTGCAACCGAAGAAAAGTTCGATGGAAAAGTTGGTAAATAGACCGGGGTCGATAATTTTTGAAACTAGTCCAGTCATTATATCCAAATAACGGACCTTACCCGTGAATAATTTTTTAGTGTTTTTTTTTCATAAGTGTTTCGGTGACACCCCCGAGACACGAAAACTGTTTTTTTTTTTTTTTGTTAAAAAACGGTTTTTCTTGAATAACTCGGCCATTTTTGATTCTACAGAAAAAGTTTGGGGACAAAAATTGTAGTACATTTGGTTCTCTACAAGTTTGGTCCTCACAATTTTTCTGATAGGATCGATATTTTGTAAATTAAACTTGAAAAAAACGACAAATTCGAAATATTTTCATTATCTCGTTTATTTTCAACTTTACGGCATAAATGAACAGAAACAAACTTGTAGAGAATCAAATTTTGGACAAATTTTGTCTTTACCTGTTTTTCCGAAAATCGATATTTTCGGAATTAAACCTAAAGAAACCGACTCATTCGAAATATCATCATTATCTCGTTTATTCTCAACTTTACACCATAAATGAGAAGAAACAAACTTGTAGAGAATCAAATTTTGGACAAATTTGGTCTTTACCTGTTTTTCCGAAAAATTGCGGAGGAATGTGTGGGTGTCGTAAGGCAGGACTGAAATGTTCTGTCTTATGCCACAACTGCGCTGGGCAGACTTGCGATAACGTCACACGATTGCGAGCCGTCGATGACGAAGACAGTGATGATGACAACGACATCGACGATCCCGCACCATTAACACTGAACTTTAACGAACGTGAAACTGGACATTACCAATGGGCTTATATCACAAAAAATTTTTGTTTCATAATTCGATAGAACCCACCCAAACTAGCTCACCACCGCAAACCGTTTCTTGCTGTGAGCTCCCTACGTTTTATAAAAAATTATTGAAATCCCCGATTTTTCGGACCTCTGTAAACGAGGCGATGATGTGACGTCAAAACCCTAATACTGAAACAAGACTATTCCAGACAGAGATGAATGATACATGATTTCTGACAGAGTGAATTAGCGCGAGATCACAGTTGAAAGAATTAATATATCAGTTGCCTCAATCTCCGTCGGGCGTTTGGTATTTTCTTTTAACTATGGCGAGATGAGGTTTCTACGTCATAAGAGGGTCCGTTTTCAGAAGGTACTATTATTTATGTCCAAAGATAAAACATTCCAGTTGATTTTTCGATCGAATTTTGTCGTCAATCATTATTTATGTATAAAAGGATCATTATAAACATGGTTTGAGTTAAAAGTTCTACTAAGGTGTACACGCCCATTGACCGAAGAAGAAAGAGAGGATATGGATTTGGCAGAACCATCAGCTAAGAAACCCAAAAAAAAATAGTACCGGAACCATATTTTCACACCGACATGACAGACAAGCTACCTGCGCGGAATAACCTCTTCATTTATGCCGTAAAACGCGAAGCATTGGAGATAATGATAATCTTTTGAATTTGTCGCTTTTTTCCCAAAATATCGATTTTTGGAACAAAAACGTGGTAACCAAAATAGTTTAGAATTTGATTCTCCACAAGTTTAGTCCTCTTCATTTATGCCGTAAAGTTGAAAGTAAACGAGATAATGAAAATATTTCGAATTTGTCGCTTTTTTCAGGTTTAATTTACAAAATATCGATCCAATCAGAAAAATTGTGAGGACCAAACTTGTAGAGAACCAAATTTACTACAATTTTTGACCCTAAAACTTTTTCAAACATACGCAAATGCTTGATTTGGTCGCCATTTTGAATTTACACTTCCAGTGACCTCCCCGAGACACCTATGAAAAAAAACACTAAAAAATTATTCACGGGTCAAAGTCTATAATGACTGGACTAAACCGAATTATAGTAGAATGGAAATAATTGGAAAAGGAGGAGAATAAACTGGTCAACATTGATAACGTCGTGGTCCGAAATATAGCCTGAATTCAAAGTAGAATAACTCACGAATTTCCTTACCAATTTGAAATCGGTTTTCACCGATGATCAGCCTAATCCCTTGACAGTATGTTGTGGCAATATGAAACTTCTTAATGAAAACATCCTGTAACTCATTTGTAGACTAAAATCACTCATTCATATGCCAACATCAGTATGACACTTTTAAGTGTCAAACTATAAGCAGCAAAACTTTCGAAGAAAAATATTTTGCATTTATATGTTGAGAACGGGAGCAGATTCGGTCCCAAAACGTCCAAAGTAAAAATTCGATATTTTTTCAATATATCTATATTTCTCTCCTTCAAACATTTTTTCAAACAAATTGTCACTGACAAGCTACTGGATTTTTCTTTTAGACTCCCTGATAGAAAAATTTGTTAAACGCAGTGACATTTTGGGGCAAATCATCTGAATTGTCCCACCTCATATATATTGAAATAATAAGAATATTTTTATTTTATAGAAACGAGCAGAGAAAATCCCAAAGAATCAAGTAAAATGACCATAAAACATTATTATAAGATTGCAAAAAACATGAAAAAATAGTTGTTCTAAATAATAAAGATGGGATTTAGGAATTTCATTTGAAGAATGGGACTGCTGCTTTTTCTTCTCTTTGCATTTTCAGAGAATATTTACCACACTAATGCATACATTTTTTACACCATCAACGAACAAGAAACCCATCGACTTTTTCAAAAAACTGATATTTAGAAGGGAGAATTTTCGATTATAAATTAGGGTGCTTTCTAGATATCAGGTCAAAATAAGGGTAAAAATGAATATTTCAAATCAAAACAATTACAGTATGTTTGGGACATAAATAGGTAAGTTTTCACCAAATTTCGTAACAATTTTTTTGTGAAAGATGAAAATAAAAAATCAAAAACTTGTTTATTTGAATTTTTCACATAAATTTTGAGGTTATGTGAAAAAAGTGTTGAGACAAAAGTTATTGATCCTTTCATTACATGCAACTTTGTCATTCAACTTTTTTCCATAGGAAATCGTGATAATCCGCAAAAGCTCATGCCCTTCCAATTCTCGATCTCAGACCGCTCGTAATTTATTTTTTCTTTCAACTTCGTTATATATTCTCTTCCTTTCCAAAGGTTTCATCCTACTTTCTTTTTCACTTTTTACTATTTTCAAAGGCTTCAGCACTGGTCTAAAAGGTAAAAGTTTAAGGAAAAGTTGAAAAAGATCGCAAGTACCTTGGAAAAGTTGGAAATTTAGTAGTTTTAGTCCGGCAGAGGCAGTGTGAGTTTCCCGCCACTGTTCCAATGATATCAACGACATACAGGGTGATTCAAAATTCGATGTAAATATTTTAAGGAGGTATTTTCGGGATCAAAATAAGACTTTTTCTTCATGAAAAGTAACCTAAAATGCACCCCCTCCGAGCTACAGCTACTGGAAGTTGGGTATAAAAAATATCTGAAATTTGTGATCATAATAACGGATCAAGTGCAAGTATTCCAATACTGCACATTATCATTATTATTCATCATTATTATACGCACACGTGCGTAAAGTGTTTCTTTTACTCATAGAAAAAAGTACCACTTTACACACTTTTTACATAAATAACTATTAGTAGGAGACAGTAAAGAACATAGACACTGATAATGATTACCTCACTCTTCATGAAAATTCGTCATTTAGCAGTGATTCATCTTAGGTCTTACTCTTAGGTTATATTTTGTATCATTTTGTATTGATTGTTATTTTGTTTCTTTGTTTACGTTTCTGTATTATACAGGGTGTCCCTTAAAGTCTTTCACTGACGTATGTCCTGAAAGTCTTAACTTTTGAGATACAGTATGATAAAGTATTGAAAAAAAAATCAGTTTCTTAATAATGACTGGAATAATACTGTAGTCATCTTTATGAAATTTGGTACGTATCTTCTATGCATCAAGGTGCATTTTTTGATGTATACAAATTCTCCTTTGCTCTACCAGTGGCGCCGTTAGGGGGATATGGTTGATTATATTATACTTGAAAGTGAGCAACGCAGGAATATTTCCAAATTTAATAAAATGCTACAAAAAGTCATTCAATTTTGTACAAAAAAGATCCTCTTGTTGATACCCGACAGGACGCCCCGGTTTCAAGAAAAAAACGAAAAAACGAGATCAAACTTCAAATTTTGATGTAAAAGCTAAGCTTGAGTACTCCATTCAGGACACCTATTACTGCATAACCACAGCATGTAACATTTCGAAATTTTTGCACCGTTTCAGTCACATAGCAGAATAAATTTTGCCATCAGGAAAAACTATACAGGATGGACAAAAAAAGAATCTATGTATATGTTCAACTTTGATACCCTGCATTTCAAAAGTTAAGACGTTTGCGACATACGTCCACATGAAGTTTTATTCTTGTTATGGGTCCAAGAATTGCCCCCTTGAATATTAGCATGTCATTAAGGAACACCCTGTATAAATGGTTAGATAGATATGTTATTTTATTTACATAATTTTTCCACAAGAACACATCACAACTTTTAAATTACCGTAAAGCTGAACTTTTTAAACTTTTGCGAATTTTTCAGCAATTCCAACTTTTCCGGAAAACTGGCAACCCTACCTCCAACTGCGAAGATATTTTCTCCTGATGCCTGATTCTGCGCGTGTTCTCGTCTTCGGGTTGCGGGGAGCCGCACGAGCTCCCAGCCGGGGAGCGGATCGGGGAGCCGCCCTGCGACAGGAAGCCCACTCGTCGTTTCTTGTATTCTTCGAGGTTGAGTTTCTTCTTTTTGTTGGCGTCGGTGGGGTGGATAGAGTTGACCTGTCGATCGGTTTATCTGAATTTATTGTCGTTCTGAATATAAACCTAGTCGGTAAACGACCCCGCACATTTAGTACGGAAAATGACTTTCGGCTAATTTTTCTGAAAATTTGATATGTTTCCGATATTGGAGTCCTCATTACACAGTCCAATTTACAGATCGATCCTATGACCAGTTGCTTTCGAGCTACAGGGTGTCAATCATTTGATTTTGGCTGTTTAGAATATTTTGCATGGATTTGAATTATGTGCTCTAAGTTGTGATAAATCTTCAGTAGAAATAAAAGCTCCACGTCGAAGTTCTACCTCATGAATCCCTCTATTCGAATAGATAATAATATCACATACAGGGTATTGCATTCCATCATGACAAGGTAATATTCATTGGAATAGACAAATATTGAAAATATCAGAATTTCGATTTTTACTCAATCACTGAAAACTTGAAAACAAACGGCTAGAATCGGCCAATTATTTGACACATTATGGATCTTGATCATCAACATGAGGATTCATATGATTTCCTCTGATACAATGTCTGGTTTGCCATATATAGGGTGATGCCAATTTGAAAGCTTAGAATTGATGTAAGTCATGTACAAAATGAGAAAAATATCAGGAATGGTCATAAATGTTTATATAATATATGTATAAAGTGAAGGAAAAAAAATGTATCATCAAATACCCCCACCAACCCCCTCAGTCACAACCACCACAACGCATATAATTTCAATAGTATCTCCTACTTGTGATACCAGTGGTATTATTCATATCTCGGACTGGGTGAACTAACAAAAAATTATCATTACCTATATCATTCTGCTAGGCTACGGTAACGTATTAATTCCATAACTTTTCGTAGTATAAAAAAAATTGTTTATATCGAGCACTTTATAGACCTATTGCTGAAATAGTTATGTTCAGGTGATTCGAAACAATGATTTGTGTACAGTAGATCGATGTAGCGAGAGAACACGGCAATGTACAGAATGTCTAGTTCCAGGTGTGTCATGTATATAGCTATTTATGTTTATGGAATTTCCTATTAAAAGAGACCATAGTCGAGGATAGCAAAAACTACACTTTTTTATAAGCTTTGTTTATCTATTGGCGACGGTGTTCGCGAAGTCAGTTGTATTCGACACTTGAATAAATACGCATATATTTATGTTCGTGTTTTAGTATCCCGTATTATGCAAATTCATAATTCGAGTACTTAACAATTGGCGACGAGGAATCGTGTAATCTTCGCGGGAGTGCCTGGATAGTGCTAACAAAATTGTGAATCATGACGGAAACGGCGGTTTTGGGCACCTTAGGCTCGTTAACAGTATTCGATCCGAAAACTTCAGATTTCATAGTTTTCATTGAGCGACTTAAGCAATTCTTCATTGCCAACCGGATTGAAGACGGAAGTCGGAAAAAAGCTATTCTTCTGAACACATTATCAGAAGATTGCTACGTGTTAGTGAGGAGTTTGTGTGTGCCGAACTTACCAGATACAAAAACGTATGAGGAGCTGATAAACATATTAACCGGGCATTTTTCACCGGTGAAGTCCTACTTTTCAGAGCGGTTGAAATTTTACTCAGCACGACGGGGGCTCAACGAAAGCGTGTCGGAATGGGAGGCCCGAGTAAAGAATTTAGCATCAAATTGTGGCTTCGGGACCGAACTTCACGTCGTGATGAGAGATTTGTTTGTTATTGGAATCAATGAGGAAAGATTCATCGACAGACTCTTTGAGGAGGACGCCTCCAGTCCAACAGTAACTTTACAAACGATGGTGAAAGTAGCTTTAGCTAAAGAGTCTGCAGTTAAGGAACATTCCTCTCCCAGAGAAAATTATGGTATAGGATCTCATGGAATTAAAACTGAATCCGACATGAATTTCCATAGTCAACAAGGTATGCCGAAAAAGCACCAACAAAATCAGGAAATAGGAAGGCCATGGACCAATACTAATGAAAATGTTACTCAATTAAAATCCTTTCTAGGTATGATAAATTTTTATTGCAAATTTTTACCAAACTGTTCAGAGGTATTGCAGCCCCTCTATAGTCTACTGAAAAAAGACACAAAATGGTTCTGGTCATCAAAATGCATCGAATCTTTTGAAAATGCAAAAAAATTATTATTATCAAATTCCATTTTGATCCATTTTGATCCTAAAATGAAAATTAAATTGACAGTAGATGCATCTCAGTATGCTTTAGGGGCATCTATCAGCCATATATTGCATAATAATACTGAAAGACCAATAGCATTTGCCTCACGTCTATTAAATTCAGCTGGAATTAAATATTCTCAAATTGAAAAGGAGGCAGCTGCTATAATATTCGGAGTGAAAAAATTCTTTCAATATTTATACGGCCAAAAATTTTTACTATATACGGATCACAAACCTTTGTTAAGCATTTTCGGGAGTAAAAAAGGTTTGCCAGTTTTTGCGGCAAATCGGTTGCAGCGTTGGGCGCACATATTGTCGGCTTTCAATTATGATATTAAATATGTAAATTCGAGTAACAACTCGGCTGATTGTTTGTCAAGATTACCATTGCCGTCAAATAATGTGTTCAGTATTCAATCAGGAGAATTAACGTACATTAATTATGTAAAGCAATCAGACTTGCCTATTGATTTCAAACAAGTAAAGAAAGAAACTATGGTAGATCCAATCTTAAGCAAAATTCTTTTCTATGTTCGGAATGGGTGGCCAAACAATAGCCCTTCCGATGAATTCAAACCATTTTTTATGAGAAAAAATGAACTCACTGTGGAACATGAGTGTCTCATGTGGGGATATAGGTTAATTATTCCAGGAAAATTTCAACAAAACATTTTGAATGAATTGCATAGCGCCCACATGGGCATGGTTAAAATGAAACTGTTGGCACGTGCGTATGTCTGGTGGCCGTCAATAAACAGCCAAATAGAAAAAATTGCTCAAACTTGTAAAATATGCAGCATTACATCTAGAAACCCTTCCAAAGCTTCTCTAGTAGTATGGGAATGGCCAGAAATTCCCTGGACTAGGCTGCATGCGGATTTTTTCGGTCCATGCTATAACAATTTTTTTTTAGTGATAGAAGACGCGACATCTAAATGGCTTGAGTGCTTTGAAATGGCGAACATTACGGCATCCAGTACAATCAAAGTTTTTCGGGAGCTTTTCGCAAGATTCGGATTACCCGTAGAGCTATGCACGGACAATGGTACATCATTCACTTGTCATGAGTTTCAATATTTTTTATCATGTAGCGGTGTTAAACATACAACAGGCGCACCATACCACCCAGCCACAAACGGGCAGGCGGAAAACGCCGTTAAAATTTTAAAAACAGCTATAACTAAAGCAAAATTGGAAAATTCCGGTGGGGACATTAATTTGATTTTGAATCGATTTTTGTTCCAATATCGTAACACCCCACATTCCACCACATCCGAAACTCCAGCAAAATTGTTGTTTGGACGTACTTTACGCACCAAATTCGATTTACTTCTGCCGTCAACGAAAAATACTGTGAAAGAAAAACAGAACTACCAACAAAAATATTACCACAGCAAAAGAAATATATTATTCAAAGTAGATGACTCAATTCTGGTACGTGATTATATTTCGCAGTCTCGTCTCAGATTATAAACACCCTGTAGTCCTAGCGCGCTATACCTTGCCTACGACGTTTAAAGAAATACAAGTTTTTTGTTTATTAGTCACCGGTATTTCTTTATCACTTCCCGAACTTGATTTATCTTCATTCTAGTTCGTCGTACCGCGCCTATAAGACGTTTTTTTTCGGTTATTTTAAAAATAAGTGAAAACGTGAAAACAGTGAAAAATATTCGAGTGCTTTAAGAATATGGGGAATAATAAAAGACACAGGAATGATAAACTGGACAAATTCCAGCGGAAACTTAGAAAAATTCAAAAAGAGTTGGAATCAATTCGCCAAAGTAAGTTCAATATATTAATTACGTATTCCTCAAATAGTTACGTCAATTTATTATGTCTTAATCAAAATATATATGTATATATATATTTAAATAGACTTAGAACAAGATGATTCAAGGCGGAAGATCGCAAGACATTAGTTTTTGCAATTCAATAAAAAACGGCTGATACATTTCATGCCGAAATTTAGTTGGTTCTCGTTTCATATGGAAATACACATGTATTTACTAGAAACGCTAACAAACAAGGTACCTAACTACACACATGTGCTATGTTATACCTTTACCAACAAAAACGAAGAAAATAAGGGCTGAAACATTTCATGCCCACAATAATCGTGCACATGCACAACTGAGTTCATTAAACAAATTTTAATGACGTCACCCGTCTTCCATTGTACAGGGTGATCGGAAGATATTACGAATATACTAATACCTAAATACCTAAATGTATTATGTGAATAGATTTTCATGCTTGGTTCCTCACACAGGTTCGAGTTCAAGTTCAAGTGAATCTGAGAGCGATTACGATTCTCAAGTTAGTTATCAGGAAGTACTTTCTCCTGTTCCTGACGAGTTGCAACCAATAATGGAACAACCGGTGGTGGACGCCGTAGAGATATTAGGAGTGGACCCGTTGGCTACTAGGCCAACAGGCCCGGATGTGCATGAGCAAATTGCAAGTAGATGGACCATATTTCTGCAGAAGGGTATAGAGAAGGTAGATCGAAAAGAGCTAACCGAGAAATATCCACCTCCTAACAACGTGCCAGCCCTGAATCCACCCAAGATGAACCCCGAAATTCAAGGATGCTTAACAGAAAACCTAAACAAGCAGGACAGCTTCCTGACAAAAGTACAGGAACAACTGAGTGCCGCGATATGCGCAGTAGCCATTCCGCTCAACACTTTTTTCTCATCAGCTGCAGATGATACTAATCCACATCTTCTGCACTTAGCAAACGCAGCTAAACTTTTGGCAGATGTTCATCATACAATCTCCTCGCATCGACGATATGGCGTATCCGGGACCCCGGATCACTCGGTCA